TAAACCCCAAACCCCAAACCCCAAACCCCAAACCCCAAACCCCAAACCCGAAACCCGAAACCCTAAACCCTAAACCCTAAACCCTAACTTTAAACCCTAAACCCCAAACCCTAAACCCTACACGGAACATGAATGAAGCCCTTACTCCCGCCAAGGCTTTATGGTCCAACTCCCAAAAAGCCACATACCCTGAAAACTAAACGAACCCTAACATTGGGGTCATTTTCCCTACTATATTCAGACCTAACCCCAAAACCCTACACCATACCCGACCCTAGACCCTAGACCCTAGACCCTAGACCCTAAACCCTAAACCCTAAACCCTAAACCCTAACCCCTAACCCTAAACCGTGTAGGCCCCGGACCACCAGCCTCAAACCCTGGAGCCTCATTCCATAGTTGAACAGCCGCGATTCATGCACAGCAACGCAAAGCAACGCCGCCAGCCATTCGTAAGCCAGAGGCCTAACCCCAAAACCCTACACCATACCCGACCCTAGACCCTAGACCCTAGAATCTAGAATCTAGACCCTAGACCCTAGACCCTAGACCCTGGACCCTAGACCCTAAACCCTAAACCCTAAACCCTAAACCCTGAGCCCTAAACCCCGAGCCCTAAACCCTAAATCCTAAACCCAACAACCTTAGGGTTCAGGGGACCTGTGTCAGCAGGTGTACTGCGACGAAATCGGGTGCCACATCCCCCGCGAAGTTGGGACGAGGCATTCTCCCGTTCGGGGATGTTTGGGGATTATGATGTTTAGGGTTTAGGGTTTAGGGTTTAGGGTTTAGGGTTTAGGGTTTACAGAGGGTTTTTGGGTGGTTTATATGGTAATGGCTTGAGAATGGCTGGAAGTCGACTGCAACTTCAGATTGATTTCAGTTTTACGTCACTGCGGCTGCTTGTTTTTCCGGTGGAAGTGGAAAATGGAGAGCGGGAAGTGGGAAGTAGGAAGTAGGAAGTGCAAAGTGGAAAGTGGTAAGTGGGGGGCTTTAGGTATGCTAGAGAGGGTTTAGGTTTAGGGCTTAGGGTTTTCGGGTTTAGGGTATCCTTACAGCCTGCAACCTCTATACTACACCTTGAATCCCAAACAGAGAGGAGTCTTTGCCATCTTGTTTGCATGAAACCACAACATGCAAACCAAACCGCACGCCGCCTCAACCCCTGAACCTTAAGCCCAAATCCCCAGATTCCAAAACCGCCGGGTTCTCAGTACGTAGGGAGTGATCAGGGAATGAGGGAGTTAGGGCCTTATATATATATATACATATAACATACATACCCTTTAAGGGGATTCTATAGGGTACCTCATTCCCTCATTCCCTACTAAGAACCCGGGTACCCAGAATGAGGCCATTCAGGGTGCTCCGCCTCGGCTGGGCCGCTGCCCGGCACAACTAACGAGTGAGGAGTCAAAGAGGTTCAGGGTTTAGGGCTTAGGGTGTAGGGTTTAGGGTTTAGGGTTTAGGGTTTAGGGCTTAGGGTTTAGGGTTTAGGGTTCATGGTCAGCCTACCAAAAGGGACCAATATTCTAGCCCAACCCCCATTTACGGTGGATTCGTCCAACAAGATGTACCAAGAGAGCCCCATACCCTTCACCTAGTTGATAGTGAAGATCCCTTTCTTACAATTGGGGATGGCGTAGGGTGCGTAGAATGTTTTTGGTTCGGAAGCTCACAGGCCAGGGTTCAAGCCTAACCGCCCTGAACATTCTGACCCCAGACCCATTAAGCCCCTGCAAAACCCCACGCCAGCCCTACGTAATACAAACGTCGCAGATCCGAAGCCCGCTGAATCTCAAGCCCTCAGCCCCGCACCCCAAATCCTAAACCCTAAACCCTAAACCCTAAACCCTAAACCCTAAACCCTCAACCCTAAACCCTAAACCCTAAACCCTAAACCCTAAACCCCAAAAACCCTAAACCCTAAAAACCCTAAACCCTATAATCCCTAAACCCTATAAACCCTAAACCCCAAACCCTCAACCCTCGCCCAGCACTTGCCGAGTTCTCTGCTCATGCGCTGCTGCCAGCACTTCCCGCGCAGGGGCTGGCGCGCAGGATAAGACGCTCGGGCGCGTGAAGGGGCTTTCGGTTTACAAGGGTTTTAGGGTCTGAGGGTGTTAGGGTTTAATGCTATGCTTTAACCAGTTGGATAGTTATATATATATATATATTTTTTTTTTTTTGGTGGCAGTTCTGACAGCTGGTCTTTTTCTTAGTCTTAAGTAGGTAGCCTTCAGCCTTTTTTTTTTTTTTTTTGGGGGGGGGGGGGTACTTCTGGTCCCTGTAAAATCCCCAAGGTCAACCTTTAGTTCCTTTAGGTTACTGGACACCTAACCCTAAACCCTAAACCCTAAACCCTAAACCCTAAACCCTAAACCCTAAACCCTAAACCCTAAACCCTAAACCCTAAACCCTAAACCCTAAACCCTAAACCCTAAACCCTAAGTTTTTGCTTTATCAGAGGTACATCCCGACTCCAGGCCCTGAAGGCACTCGGAAGCATAAGGCTTAGGAGCCCCCCTAAGCCCTTGACCCTGAACCCTCAACCCTAAACCCTAAACCTTAACCCTCAACCCTAAACCCTCAACCCTAAACCCTAAACCTCAATGCCAAGCATCCTAACACCCTAAGAACGACAAGAATTCACAGAAATCCCCCTAAACCCTATATTTCCGAAACCCAAAACCCTAGACCATATCTTGACGGAGCTGTGTCTCCAATTTGTAAGTACCCAATCCCCAACGTCGACGAGCGCCTGGAGTTAGGGTTGGACTCTCCGTGCCTAAAAGTACAACATAAGTACATGTGATATCATATCATTCCAAGCATGCGTGTGTATGTTCTGGGTCCTTTTCATGTACAGTACGTTACATTAAACACATGGGAAGTTGGGGTTTAGGTTGTTTAAGGTTGACTGCTGAGGAGGCTGCTTTGCACTGAAACCCGAAACCTGAAACCCGAAACCCTGAACCCGAACATTCAGCTTCGTCCTTGCTCCCTGACCCGAATATGCTTCAATCTCTGTGGGCCCTAATCTCCATTTTATCTGATTGGCCCATACGATCGCCATAGAGGTGTAAGTTTCATAGGGCCGCCCAAAATCCACCCAGCAAGATCAACAAGGGTAGTTCCCGGCGAAGTGTAGTATACCTTATTTATATCCATGGGTTCCCCTGCTAGCCCCCTCTTTTCTCCCCCCCCCCCCCCCTCCCCCCGCTAGCTTCCCCCCTTAAGTAACCTTAATTAGGCTTAGTTATCCCTAAATAGCCTGAATTATGGGGGTAACCCTGAGGGGGGTAGTATAGAGGGGGTAGTAGGAACCCATGATGTACCTGGAGGTTCATGGTACTTTTTAACCAATTATAACTGTACTTATTACCCACTTATAAGGCCCTTAAGTGCCATAATATGGTTATAATTGGGTTATAGGTGCAGTTACTATTTGGTTAGTAAGTGCCATGAACCTCCAAGTAGACCCTAAACCCCAAACCCCAAAACCCAAAACCCAAAACCCAAAACCCAAACCCTAAACCCTAAACCCTTAAAAGGGCTATAGAACAAGTGACCCATATTAAGGGCCCATGGTGTATACCTCCCCCGAAACCCTAACTCTAAACCCTAAACCCTAAACCCCAAACCCCAAAACCCTAAACCCTAAACCCTAAACCCTAAACCCTAGGGAACCCATGGTAGTAGGAACCCATGTATACTTCATTAAACGAGATGGGGCCCAGTGAGCTGAGGCCAGCCAAGGTGGCGCTGCGCCGCTGCGAAGGTCGGCGAGGCCTTTCTCCTGGGAGCTTTTTTTCTCTCTCCCCTAAACCCTAAACCCTAAACCCTAAACCCTAAACCCTAAACCCTAAACCCGAAACCCGAAACCCTAAACCCTAAACCCTAAACCCTAAACCCTAATCCCGGGTTTATGGGTGAAGGGCTTCTGGAGCTCAGGGCCGATATTAGGCCTTGAGATGTCGGGACACCCTTACTTGTATGGTTTAGGGTTTAGGGTTCAGGGTTTAGGGTTTAGGGTTTAGGGTTTAGGGCTATGGGATTCCAGGTCTAAACAAGAGGAGGCTCAGGAGGCTGAGGCGGCCATTCTTTGGGTTTCAGGGGTTGCTAGGTCTGCAGCTCGGGGATTTCGTGGCCGGTGGGGTGTCTGAACTTTGAGAGGTTTAAGAGGGTTGATGGTTTAGCGTTTGGGGCTCAGGGCTTAGTGTTTCGGGTGTACAGGGTTTAGGGTTTCGGGTTTATATGGTGTTTAGGGCTCAGGGTTTGATAGCAGAATTGCTGGGACTTCTCTGTTGAATTAGACCCAGCTTTGCATTAGGGGTTTAAGGTCTTGGCTTGGAAGTTCTTAGAGCTTTAGATTTGGACAGTCAGTTGGCCGTGAGAAAGGTTTAGGGCTAAAGTTTAGGGTTTAGGGTTTAAGGCTGAAGCCCAGATTTCCTCAACCCCAAACCCGGCTACTGAACCGACTGGACTCCCCCAACCTGGAGCATCCTCAAGTCCGCAAAAAAACGAGAGGCACAGATCATGGGGGTTTCCTACTACCCCCCCCTCTATACTACCCTGAATTTGGCTTACTTCTCCCTAAATAGCCTTAAATATGGGGAACCTGGGAGTGGGTAGTCTAGAGGGGGGTAGTAGCCCTCTGACAGGCCATGCTTCAGGATGCTGCCCAGTTGAGGGTTTAGGGTTGGGATGTTCCGCGTTATACTAACAGGCCTGTAGTGCCCCCCTTTTTGTAATTACCATGAATTACCTATTCATCCAAGATGTGGGGTTTAGTGTCTCAAATTAGGGTTGTTGAGGTTTCGGGAGCCATGGAGACTGCCCATAAACGCATATTCCGCGCAGTATATGGACATTCTGTGACCCTCTGACACAGACGCCTGGGGTTAGGTCGACTCGAGACGTCATGACTACATGCATGACTGCATGGCACCTTTTGCGTGTGCAGCACTTTGAACTCAAGCCCGCCTTTGTTTCGTGTCATGGCCAGTAGCGCCGGTTCCTCAGTGGCCGCTGCAGCGGGCCCGGCGCAGGCTTTCGTGGGCGCTCCGGTCGCCCGCGCCCAGGTCCACCAGGGCCGTGCGAGCTCCGACCCAAAGGTCAAGCCAACCTCGGCCTCCAGTACCGGGCTTGCCACGGCCATGTTTGCGGTGGGCACCGCCGGTGCCGCCGCCGCACGTAGCCGCGCCCGGGGCGGCGCCGCCCTGCGCCGGCTCTTGCGTGCAGGACCTGCGGGCACGAAGCTTTCGGTGCAGCCGAGCGCGGTGTCCCTCTCCGCGGAGGGCCGTGCAAGCTTCAGCGCCGTGGCGATGCAGGCGGCCGCCGTTGCCGAGGCCCCAGTGAAGACGGCCACCAGCTATGAAGTGGGCCAGAAGCTGCACGGTTGGACTTGTGTCCGGGCCGAGTACATCAAGGAGTTCAGCTGCAGCGGCTACCTCTTCCAGCACGACAAGATGCTCGGCTCCTTTCTACAACACCCGAGTTATCGTTATCAAGCTCTTAGAAGCTCCTGACCCAACGAGCACAAAGACGCGCTGGCACTCATGAAGCCGAAGCATCATGAGGCATCCCCAGACCACAGCAAGCAAACCTTGGCGACAACTTAGACAAACCAATTGCTTCCTGACGCCCTAAAAAGCAATCCCAGTCTGATGGTTTGCTGTGGAGTTTTTGCTATCACTATAATGAAACAAAGCCCCCGTACTGCACTCGCAAGGAAACAAGGTTTGGCGTACCTTAAGAAATCAAAGCTTACGTGTTTGTAGGTTTAACTAAGAACCCAAAAGGGGTATTGTCACAAGAGCCCAGAAAAATAGGTAGGTTTTGGGTTCGTAAGGCAGCCCAGTGGTGCCCTGTACCCTTCAAATTTTGGTTATGGCTTCCCTCAGACATTGACCCCTTAAAAAAGGGTGCCCTTATCAGAATATGGTCGCTGGGCTACCGAGATAAGGACCGGTGCCGAGCTGATGTCCATGGTCCAGCCGGCGGACGAGAACAAGACCTTTAGCGTGGTCTTCCGCACGCCCCCGGAATCTCGGCCCAGGGCTTCACTCTTGTACCCCTAAACCCTATAAACCCTAAACCCTAAACCCTAAACCCTAAACCCTAAACCCTAAACCCTAAGCCCTAAGCCCTAAGCCCTAAACCCCAAGCCCTAAACCCGAAACCCGACACCCTAAACCCTGAAACCTGAAAGCTCCTAAGCCGTCACTCGGAACACTATAAGTCCTAAGCCCTCAACTCAAGTCCTCAAAGCCAAGCCCAGCTCCAGGCGTGGCTTGTTTGTCTTCCAAAGGGTTTCGGGTTTAGGGTTTAGGGTTTAGGGTTTAGGGTTTAGGGTTTAGGGTTTCGGGTTTCGGGTTTCAGGTTTAGGGTTTAGGGTTCAGGGTTTAGGGCGTAGTTAGGGCTTAAGAGGGGTGGCGGCGGGGGATTCTCTTCGGATTCAGGGCATGGTCTTTTAACCATGCTGCTTCAGGGTTTGGCGTGGCCTTAAGCCCTAAAAACCCCCTGAACCCCCTAAAACCCCCTAAACCCCCTATTTCAACCCCCGTAACCCCTAAAACCCCCTAAGCCCCCTAATTCAACCCCCCTAACCCCTAAACCCCCCAAGCCCCCCAAAGAACGTCGGGCAGGGACGCGTGCGTTCTGGGCTCGCTGGGGGCTAAAGGGCTGTGGAGTTGAGGGTGTAGGGATTCCCCGGGCCCTGAACACCCCCAAGCTCTTTCCTCAGCACAAAGAGTTTAGCGTTTAGGGTTTGGGATTTCAGGCCCGAAGACCATACCAGATAAGGCTGGGGTCTTCACAAATTGTTTCTTGGACGACTTCACCCTAAACCCTAAACTCTAAACCTTAAACCCTAAACCCTAAACCTTAAACGCTTAACCCTAACTCTCCACAAAGGAGAACTCCAACGGCATCGCCCACGTCTTGGAGCACTCTGTTCTCTGTGGCAGCCGCAAGTATCCCCTGAAGGCCCCCCTCGAAAAAGGGGCTCGGGTTTAGGGCCTCGAGGAAACGCAGAGTCTAGGCCCTAAGTCTGAGCTCTAAACCCTAAACCCTACACCCTAAACCCTAAACCCTAAACCCTAAACCCTGAACCCTGAACCCTGAACCCTAAACCCTAAACCCTCAACCCTGAACCCTCAACCCTGAACCCTAAACCCTAAACCCTAAACCCCAAACCTGAAACCCTAAACCCTAAACCCTAAACCCTAAACCCTAAACCCTAAACCCTAAACCCTAAACCCTAAACCCTAAACCCTAAACCCTAAACCCTAAACCCTAAACCTAACCCTAAACCCTAAACCCTAAACCCTAAACCCTAAACCCTAAACCCTAAACCCTAAACCCTAAACCCTAAACCCTAAACCCTAAACCCTAAACCCTAAACCCTAAACCCTACGCAAGGCTCCACGGAATGTTTCGACTGTAGGGCTCCACAAGCAGGAGCCTTTCGTGGAACTCATGAAGTCGAGCTTGCAGACATTTCTGAACGTGCCGCGCCTGCATGGTATATGGGGCTTCGGCCCTCCCAACTCCCTAAAATGGGCCTCTTGGGTTTTAGGGCTTAGGGCTTAGGGTTTAGGGTTTAGGGCTTAGGGTTTAGGGTGTAGGGTTTAGGGTTTAGGGTTTAGGGCGTAGGGCTTAGGGTTTAGGGCTTAGGGCTTAGGGTTTTCAGGCTTAGGGTATGGGGTTTTGGGTTCAGCTGATGAGGGTTTCGGGTGGAGGCTACTCTTGCGAACGAGTGCAGCCCCGGGCCCCGAGCCCTTACAAACCTTCGAAACTCTCATCCCTGTTGGTCTTCATCTGCCTTTGATATATATATATATATATATGTACATGTTTTACATACATACATATGTGGGCCCATACTTGTGACCTCAGACAAATGCGTGAGGGTCCCTTCCCCTCTTTATACCCTCTTGACAGGATCCCCCGAAAGTGGACCCTAAACCCTAAACCTTAATGTTCGGAATTTCCCACCCTGTACGAAAACAAGGCCCCGTGTGTTCCTTCCAACCCCCATAAGTCCAACACACCCCCAAAGCAAAGCGCAAGCAGCCCAAAGCCCCAAACCCCAAACCCCCCGAAAACCCCTTGCTCCCAGACCCTAAACCCCTAAATCCCATACCCCCGCAACCGAAAACCCTTACTCCTAGACCCGAAACCCCTAAACCCTATACCCTAGAACTAAATCCCTGAACCTCTAAATCCCCTAAACCCCTAAACTCCAAAATGAGGCCATGACCTTCCCTGATCGCACCTGCTACCCGGTGGCCAGCTGCAACCTCAAGGCGCGCCGGAGGCTGTATACATATATGCATATTATATATACATATACATGTACATATATATATATGTATATATATATATATATCTGTATATATATATATATATGTATACGAATACTTTATGCATGCATGCATGCATGCATGCATGCATGCATGTATGTATGTATGTATGCATGTATGTATGTATGTGTGCGTATGTTTGTATGTATGTATGTGTGTATGTGTGTATACTCATACTCTTTGAGATTCATAGGGTTAGGGTGCAGGGTTTGTACTAAGTATTGCAGAATGACCACCTTTGATGTTGATGATCCAGGTTTTGGGCCCTTTGAGCCCGGGGGATTTTCCTGGTGGGGAGTTTGGGGGCCCGGGCTTCCTCCAAACACCCTACGCCCTAGTCCTTGGGGCTTCGGGTTCTCTAAGCCCCAAAGAGGGCTTTTAAAAGAGGGTTTTTAGGGGCTTCGGGTTCTCTAAGCCCTAAAACCTGAACCCTAGTCCCTCGGTCTTTTCGAGCCACGGTCTAGTCCCTCGGTCTTTTCGAGCCACGGTCGGGCTCAAGCTCTTCCCTCAACCCCGCAACCCAAGGGCTACAGCCTCCTGCCTGCGCAGTGGGGGGGAGGGGGGGGGGGAAGACCCGAAAGCCCGCACACACACACACAACCATTTCAAGATATTTCAAAACTTGTACCTGAAATATGAACCCTCTACACCCTGCAAACCCTGCAAGCCCCAAGAACCGTATAAACCCTATAAACCCTGTAGTAGGACTTCTACAACCTCATCGACGTCTATCTGGATGCCGCAACTTGCCATGGCAGTTGCGGGTTGTTCTTCTCTTCGAGCTTGGGAATCCAAAAGTGAGAGTTTTATGCTCCAGGGTCTGGGGTTGTCCCCTGGCTGTGAGCTTATGATTTTCAGGCCAACCCTAAACCCTAAACCCTAAACCCTAAACCCTAAACCCTAAACCCTAATCCCTAAACCCTAAACCCTAAACCCATCTGAACCCTAAACCCTAAACCCCCAAAGGCCCACACCACTGCCTTTAGGGTTAAGAGCCATCCTTCGAAGCTCAACGAACTACTACCCCCCTCCCCGCGCCCAAGAATTGATGCTATTTTTAGGGTTTAGGGTTTAGGGTTTAGGGTTTAGGGTTTAGGGTTTAGGGTTTAGGGTTTAGGGCTACGCTGAATTTAGGTTAGTTAAGGGCCAGGAGGGGTAGCTTTCCAGGGCGCTCCCGGGAACCCAGCAACGGAGGGGGGGGCTTACAGGAAGGCCTGCCCAGAGAGGGTCCTGGTCCAGCGAACCCTAAACCCTAAACCCTATACCCTAAACCCTAAACCCTAAACCCTAAACCCTAAACCCTAAACCCTAAACCCTAAACCCTAAACCCATCGTCCATCCAGAAAAGTGTTTCTGGAAATGGGCGGGTATGGCCTCAGCAAGCCGGGTGGGAGTTTCGGCTTTAGGGTTTAGGGTTCCACAAAAACGTTGGGCAAGCGGGCTGAAGGGTTTCAAGAGGTTCAGATTTTTTTTGTGGTTGAGTCTTGGGGTGGTAGGGTTTAGGGTTTGGTGTTTAGGGTCTTAGCACCACAATGCCAAAATCATTCTGCAATCTTCAGGCCTATGGGCTGTAGTCGTCCGGGCATCTCGTGCTAACAGTGGAACCCACAAGGCTCCCTTGCTCATTCCTACTGGGGAACCTTGTTCAGGGTGCGCACCATCTTGCCCGAAAGCATAGACCGCAAGACCCTACCACAGCCCTGAAGCCCTGAAACCCCTAAACCTAAACCCTAAACCCAAAGCCCTAAGCCCTAAACCCTAAGCCCCAAACCCTAAGCCCTAAACCCAAACCCTAACCTTCTTGCAGTGTTTCTCTCATCCCCAGAGAGTGTGAGGTCTTCCACCCTCGTGCCATTAACGACCCGCGCGTGCTGGCTCAAGAGGGGTGGCACTACGAGGCCGGGTGGCCCTTGGTTTACGGTTTTAGGGTTTAGGGTTTCTTAAAACTTGAAAATGAAACGTTAAGTCCTTTGCCCAAAGAAGGCCCAGGAGTACCCTGATTTTCCTTCTTTGGGCTTCGGAGACCCTATCGACCCTTCTCAACCCAAAAAAAGGCACCAATATTTTTGTAAGCGCTAAACCCTCAAGCCCCTGTACCTTGAAATTCACTGTTCTACAGTTAAAGCAGAAACTCCTCAAAACTTCCCCGGACCTGAACCCTAAACCCTAAACCCCTAAACCCCATAAGCCTTAAACCCGTGAGAATGTTCAATAGACCCGAAGCCCAAGGTTGATTGGCGGCCTTGTCGGGGTTCAGCGTGGTCCGACATCCCGTTGAACCCTAAGCTCTCGAAGGGTTTGGGGTTGAGTGATTAGGGTTTTCACTAGGTTTAGTTACGGCCTGGAGGTCGAGAAGAAGGATGAGCCTCTCAAGTACAAGGGCGTGGTGTTCAACGAGATGCTTCCTGTCCCTCACTTTTTTGTGCCCGGTTTATTACTGGGTTTTGGAGTACTACACTTTAATACTTTTTTTGGTTCTGGGTTCCTATAATAGCTACTTGTACCTAAAAAGTATATACTTTTTTCCAGGGTCTACTCCAAAGCTGAGATTAGGGTTTAGGGAGGGTTTAGGGTTTAGGGTTAAAAATCGATGCTTTGAGGAGTTTAGGGCTGTTGGATTCTTTTGGAGCATTTTTCAGGTTGGTGGCTCATTGACCTTAAGCCCTGAGCCCTAAACCCCTGAACCCGAAACCCTTTTGTTCTAAACCCTAAACCCTAAACCCTAAACCCTAAACCCTAAACCCTAAACCCTAAACCCTAAACCCTAAACCCTAAACCCTAAACCCTAAACCCTAAACCCTAAACCCTAAACCCTAAACCCTAAACCCTAAACCCTAAGCTATGGGCCTAAATCAGGGGCCCGGGCTTTTTCCGGGTTCAGGCTTGAGAAACTCTTGGGGCCCCAAGAAGATGAAGACCCCTCAATGCAGGGTTAGGGTTTAGGGTTCAGGGTTCAGGGTTCAGGGTTCAGGGTTTAGGGTTTAGGGTTTAGGGTTTAGGGTTTAGGGTTTAGGGTTTAGGGTTTAGGGTTTCGGCACTGTGCCAGCTGGACCCCTACATACTTTGCTGGGGTTTGGATGAGAAATTGCGAAATTTTGGATTCGTAGCTCCTGCAGCACACATGTGTCCTTTGGCAGCAACATGCAAGTCAAGCATTTGTGTCAACTAAGCCAGCCTGAGCACCCTTTTCCGAAACCCAAAGCCCCAAATTCCGTTAAGCCCTAACCCTAAGGATCCATGTGCAGATACAGTCTATACGTAGGCCTTAAAGGGGTTCCCATGTAATAGCTTAGGGCCAAGTATATACTATGTGGGCAGGCACAAGGATCATGGGTAATGACCCTAAACCCTAAACACTAAACCCTAAACCCTAAACCCTAAACCCTAAACCCTAAACCCTAAACCCTAAACCCTAAACCCTAAACCCTAAACCCTAAACCCTAAACCCTAGGAAGGGCGTCTACTCGAACCCGGACGCTGCACACGGACGGCTGGCGAACATGTCCATGTTCCCGGACACTCAGCACCCCGCCATCTTGGGGTTGAGGGTTTAGGGTTGGGACGTTCCCCCTTTATATACAAACAGTCCTTAATTAGGTTTCGGGTCGAGGGTTTAGAGTCTAGGGTTTCTGGGAGTGGGCTTTTTCTCTAGCCCCTCCCATGCTCGCACTCCAAAACCCTAAACCCCAAACGCCCCGCACTCTGATGTCAAGCAGGGCCTTCCCTTGAGCAGCATTAGCTGCTCCAAACCCAGCGTTTGGTGGGTAACACTAAAGATATCAAGACGCAAGAGTAGCCTAGGAATAAAACGGGTGCCCTTTTGGGGTTAGCGGGGCTGATAAGGGAACCGAAAGCCCAAAAAGGTGGAACAAGGGCCTACTCCGGGTCCTAGTATCTACATCTTTGCAGTGGCATGTTATACAAAAGTGTTTGGGGTTGACCCTGCACAAGTCCCCGCAAGAGATCAAGCACAAACAAGTTGACCGAGGCGCTTGTTGACGGCTGTTTGGTTCTATTTTGGTTAGGGGATATAACACCCCATCCCTCGAAAAATTCCGAGAGTCAAGACGAAGACAGCAGACCAAGGCCCCATGCCCCCTTAGGGATGACAGTAGGGGGGGGGGGGGGGAAAAACCCTAAACCCTAAAAAACCCTAACCTAAACCCTAAACCCTAACCCTAAACCCTAAACCCTAAACCTAAACTAAACCTAAACCCTAAAAACCCTAAACCCTAACCCTAACCCTAACCCTAAACCCTAACCCCCTAACCCTAAACCCTAAACCCTAAACCCTAAACCCTAACCCTAAACCCTAAAACCCTAAACCCTAAACCCTAAACCCTAAACCCTAAACCCTAAACCCTAAACCCTAAACCCTAAACCCTAAACCCTAAACCCTAAACCCTAAACCCTAAACCCTAAACCCTAAACCCTAAACCCTAAACCCTAAACCCAAACCCTAAACGAACCTTGAACCCTCAACCACAGCAGGTACGGAGTCGACTCTGGCGGTGACCCCAGGGAGATCCCCTCCCTCACTTTCGACTACTTCAAGAACTTCCACGGCAAGCCGCTTTGGTAGCAAGAAGTTAGGGTTTAGGGTTTAGGGTTTGGGGTTTGGGGTTTGGGGTTTAGGGTTTAGGGTGTAGGGTTTGGTAGCAAGAGGTGAGGGTGTAGGGATTAGGGTAGAAGGTCACTAGTTTTGATAGCGGCTGGCACTTAGCAAGCATTCTATACCCTAAGCCCCTAAAACCCTAAAACCCTAAAACCCTAAAACCCTAAAACCCTAAAACCCTAAAACCCTAAAACCCTAAAACCCTAAAACCCTAAAACCCTAAAACCCTAAAACCCTAAAACCCTAAAACCCTAAAACCCTAAAACCCTAAGCCCCTAAACCCTAAAACCCTAAAACCTTCAACCCTAAAGCCTAAAGCCTAAACCATTTCTGTGGGGATGTTCTGAATTGAAAGGGTTCTGACTTACGGCGCTCATCGTTCATCGTTCGTCGTTCATCTTTCTGCTTCGCTGCCCCCGCCACATGCCCGGCATCCAACCCAGCACCTGTTTGTATAGGGTTTAGGGTTTAGGGTTTAGGGTTCAGGGTTCAGGGTTCAGGTTCGGGTTTGGGGTCTGGGTGTAGGATTTGGGGGTTCGTGTTCGAAATTTAGGGCTTGGGAGTTAGGCAAGCTGTGTGCTTTCTGGGCTTCGGGTTTAGGGTTCAGGGCTCAGGGTTTAGTTGTTTGGGTCCTGCCCTTGTTCAACCCAGCACCTTAAATTCAAAAAGCATCGACCCCGCAACCCGTACCTTAAAACCCTAACTCCTGAATCCTTAAAACCTCGCCTCCCGAAACCCTAAACCCCAGAGAGCGAGGTGTCCCTTTGTATGGACCCTTAAACGGGGACCCCTTATATACCCCTTATATACCCGGACCATGTACAGACCCTTAGACCCTACACCTTAACACCCTAACCCCTGAACCCTCAACACCCCCGCTTCCTAACCCCTAAGCCCCAGACCCTAAACCCCAAACCCTAAACCCTAAACCGCAAACCCTAAACCCCAAACCCTAAACCCTTTCAGGTTCTACCACCCCTCCAACGCGAAGTTCTGGTTCTACGGCGACGACCCCGCAGACGATCGCCTTGAGCTCTTGGTCGCCCGGCCATTTTTTTTGGGGGTGAGGTAAGGGTTTAGGGTTTAGGGTTTAGGGTTTAGGGTTTAGGGTTTAGGGTTGAGGGTTGAGGGTTGAGGGTTGAGGGTTGAGGGTTGAGGGTTTAGGGTTTAGGGTCTAGGGTTTAGGGTTTAGGGTTGAGGGTTTGGGGTTTAGTATTTCAGGTCGTCTAAGGATATCTCTGTTGGTAAACCACTTAATATATGATTAAACAATATCTCTGTTTATTCACCATTCAAGCTTTTATTCTATACACATCATATATGTACAGCTGTTAAAATTACTCATTTGACGTGTAATACCAACACCTTTAATCTTTCTACTACTCTCATTTCAGGGTTCAGGGTTTAGGGTTAATTAAGTTAGAATTCGAAGGGCTTGCAGTGCAGGGTATGCGTTCTTGTTGAGGTAGTGGGCTTAGGGATAGGGAGGTCTTCCAAGGCGTTGCTGGCTGGGTTGTCGGGATTGAGTTCCTGCTTTCAACAGAGCCGCACACCCCTAGACCCTAACCCACATGAAGAGACCCCCCGAACGCATGATAATGATGGCTAGATCCGCAATGAACTCATTTTTCTGCGGAGGGGGGATGGGGGGGTGGGGGGGGGATGTAGGGTCTAGAATTGTCAGGCAGGTAGCTTTCCCCATCTGAGCTGTGCACCTCCCCAAAACAATGACTGCTGCAAGGCGGCATAAAACCCCCAAACCCACCCAACCTTACCCTACTATTTGCTTAAGAAGCCCCAAAAAAAACAAAATGATAATCCCTGTGTTACCCCCATAAGGAAGAATCTTTTGGATTTATGGGGCTTCTTTAAGCAATTGGTAGTACCCTGTCGGAGTCAGGACAAGTTCCTGTCCGAGTTCGAGAAGATCGAGGCAGGCGGCTTATGTGTGGGCTAAACCCTAAACCCTAAACCCTAAACCCTAAACCCTAAACCCTAAACCCTAAACCCTAAACCCTAAACCCTAAACACTAAACCCTAAACCCTAAACCCTAAACCCTAAACCCTAAACCCCAAACAAGGGTCATGTCCCGACTTGTTGAGTTAGCTCGATTCCAGAGTTGGCCCTTACTGCCTTTTTCTGGCTGGTTCTTAGTCGGGAATGAGGGAATGAGGCCCTATATACTCCCTGACTTGGAGGTTCATGGTACTTACGAACCAAATAGTAACTGCACTTGTAACCCAATTATCACCATATTAGGGAAATTGAGGGGCTTATAAGTGGATTAAGTATCACGAACCTCCAAGTGAGGGCCCAAGATACTCCCTCACAGGGTATATGTAGGGCCCGAACTCCCTCATTTCCTGCTAAGAACCAGGGCCCGAACTCCCTCATTCCCTGCTAAGAACCAGGAAGTTTTGTCTGGGGGGGTTGGGCCGCCTCATAGAGCCTCGTAATAAAGAAAAGCCTAAGTCCCAGACATCTCCAAGTCAGTCGCTTTTTGTATTCCCAGATTACCCCCGGACAGGGTTTGGGGCTTTGGGTTTAGGGTTTAGGGCTTAGGATTTAGGGTTTAGGGTTTAGGGTTTAGGGTTAAGGTTTAGGCCCAAATTCGTTGACTTGCAGATGGCGGCAGAGCTTCTTGGACTTGGGATGGGGTTGAGGGGTTGGGTTCTTGCTAAACCCGAAAGCCCTGGGACCTGGACCTCTAGGCCTTGGGCTGCAGAAGGAGGGCAAGCCGCGAAACCCCTAAACCCTAAACCCTAAACCCTAAACCCTAAACCCTAAACCCTAAACCCTAAACCCTAAATTTAAACCATTAAACCCCATGAACCCTTGGCACCCAGGTGGATTCGAAGATTGAGGCCCAGCCACTGTTCAAGGAGCCCAAGACGGTGATCGGCGAGCCTTATCTGCTTGCATCCCGGAACTCGATTTTTTAAACCCGGCATGGCCAAAAAGAATATCACACCGATAGGGTTTAGGGTTTAGGGTTTAGGGTTTAGGGTTTAGGGTTTAGGGTTTAGGGTAGATTGAAATCATTAAGGGCTCAGGTCCTGGGAAAGCTTCGAGGAGTTCCGAGGAAGATTTCGAGGAAAGTTTTCAGGAGTTTCGTTTTAGGGTTTAGGGTTTAGGATTTGGGATACCTAGATGCGACCTGCCCTGAACCCTAGACTCCTGCCCCCCCTCCCCCCCTCCCCCCTAAAAAAAAACATCGAGGGAAGTCCTGAATACCTAAGGCCAAGACCCTAAACCCTAAACCCTAAACCCTAAACCCTAAACCCTAAACCCTAAACCCTAAACCTTAAACCCTGAACCCTGAACCCTAAACCCTGAACCCCAAACCCCTAAACCCTAAAACCCTAAAACCATAAAACCCTAAAACCCTAAAACCCTAAAACCCTAAAACCCTAAAACCCTAAAACCCTAAAACCCTAAAACCCTAAAACCCTAAAACCCTAAAACCCTAAAACCCTAAAACCCTAAAACCCTAAAACCCTAAAACCCTAAAAACCTAAAACCCTAAAACCCTAAAACCCTAAAACCCTAAAACCCTAAAACCCTAAAACCCTAAAACCCTAAAACCCTAAAACCCTAAAACCCTAAAACCCTAAAACCCTAAAACCCTAAACCCTAAAACCCTAAACCCTAGACCCTAAACCCTAAACCTTGGGGGAGCATCAGACCCCTAAACCCTAAGAGCCAGCCCAGGAGTTTGCTGTGGGCGAGGACGAGGACATCTCCAAGAAGACCATGATCAGCGCCCCCCGCCTCACACACACACTGGGTTTAGGGTTTAGGGTTTGGGGTTTAGGGTTTAGGGTTTGGGGTTTAGGGTTTTGGATTTAGGGTTTAGGGTTTAGGGTTTGGGGATTAAGGTGTAGGGTTTAGGGTTGAGCCCCTAAACCCTAAACCCAAAGCCCCGAGGCCATAGAACCGTGGCCCTGACAGCCCAGGGGCCCGAAAACGGGTTTAGGGGTGTTTGTGTTGTGTTTCGGGGGGTGTAGGGGGGTTTAGGGGTTTAGGGTTGTTGTGTGTGTTCTCTGAGGTTTTAGTATCCACTGCTTTAGAGGGCGTTCAGAGCACCAGGCCCGCCAAACCCGCCCGAAACCCGACCGAGAAAACCCTAAACCCTATACCCTAAACCCTAAACCCCGAAACAAGGTCAACTGGGTCGTGTCTGAGGGGAAGGAGGATCTGCAGACCAGCCTGGCCATGTCCTTCCTGAACTACCTGATGCAGCCCGGCGGGTCGGGGTTTAGGGTTCAGGGTTCAGGGTTTAGGTTTTAGGTTTAGGGTTGTGGGCTTAGGGCTTAGGGCTTAGGGCTTAGGGCTTAGGGCTTAGGGCTTAGGGCTTAGGGCTTAGGGCTTAGGGCTTAGGGTTTAGGGTTTAGGGTGCAGAGACTTTGGGGACCCTGAAGCTCCATTCACTCCCTAAACCCTAAACCCTCCATCCTAAACCCTAAACCGCAAACCCTTATTAAACCATAAACCCTAAGCTAAGCCCTACACCCCAAAACCCTAGATCCTAAGCACCCTGAACCGTTTTGAGGTTTTAGGGTGTGGGGTTTAGGGTTTAGCATGTAGGGTTTAGAGTTTAGGGTTCAGGGTTTGGGGTTGAGGGCCTTTTTGCTTTATTGGTTTCTGGTAGTCTCGTATCTTCTGAGAGACCAAAGTAAGCTCCCGGGGTTTAGGGCGGATTTAGGGGCTTGGGAACCCTTGTGGAGATGACCTCATTTTGGGAAATTCGTTTTTTTTTTTTCGGCTAGCTACTTGGAGGTTCATGGTACTTAACCACTAATCACCACTTATAACTGTACTTATAACCCACTTGTAAGCCCCTTAGGTGCCCTAATGTGGTTATAGGTGCAGTTAAATTGGTTAAGTACCATGAACTATAAGGGAACCCTAAACCCTAATCCCTAAAACCCTAAACCCTAAGCCCGAAACCCGACACCCGAAACCCTAAACCCTAAACCCTAAACCCTAAACCCTAAACCCTAAAACCCTAAACCCTAAACCCTAAACCCTAAACCCTAAACCCCAAACCCCTACAAAAAGGGAATAAGGGCCACCTGGGGTTTTCTGGGCACACGAGATCAAAATGGTGCAGGGCCTTTATACTTTCTGGACCTCGCCGGAACTTGCCTTAGAGGACATCCACGTTCCGGGCTAAGGGTTTCATGCCTCAAACAGTCGCCTACATTCCCTAAGCTTCCTTGGGCTCAGTTTCCCTCGTCTTTCCCAACCCCGAACACCAAACTCCGCAATACCAACCATTCCAAGCCTTAGGGTTTAGGGTTTAGGGTTTAGGGTTTAGGGTTTAGGGTTTAGGGTTTAGGGTTTAGGGTTTAGGGTTTAGGGTTTAGGGTTTAGGGTTTAGGGTTTAGGGTTTAGGGTTTAGGGTAAGCTCCCTGAACCTTAAACGCTCAAACCATCCCACTCCAGACTCCTGAGGATGGGCACGGCAGCCTCGCCACTGTACAAGGCAGGTGCTCGGGGAGGAGTCGCAAGCCGCTGTCAGGGTTTGGGGTTTAGGGTTTAGGGTTTAGGGTTTAGGGTTTAGAGTTTAGGGTTTAGGGTTTAGGGTTTAGGGTTATGTGTTGCCCCCCCCCCCCCCCCCCCCTTTTCCCGCCCCTGCCGCCCGAACATCTTTTCTGCAAAGAAACACGTAGGGACGAAGGATTCTAGGGCTGTTAACCATATCTCCCACTTCTGGAAAGCTTTGTCGGTAAGGTTCAGGCGATGGGGGCTGAGGGGCCTTGAGGCCTAAACCCTAAACCCTAAACCCTAAACCCCAAACCCTAAACCCTAAACCCTAAACCCTAAACCCTAAACCCTAAACCCTCAACCCTAAACCCTCAAACCTAAACGAAGGCATAGGGATTTGGGTGGGAAGTGTCGGGCCGCTGGGTTTCGGGAGTTGGGGGAGGGAGGGAGTTGAGGTGGAGGGTTTAAGGTTGAGGGTTTAAGGTGGAGGGTTTGGGTTTAAGGTTTAAGGTTGAGGGTTTGGGTTTAGGGTTTAGGGTTTCGGTCTAGGGTTTAGGGTTTAGGGCTTAGGACTCTCCTGCACAGAGACAGCCATAGGCCCTGGTGGATAGTGGCCTCGGCTCTCGCGTCATCGGCACCACGGCATCATTCAAAGAGTTGAATGTTGTAGGGTTTAGGGTTTAGGGGTTAGGGTCTAGGGTCTAGGGTTTAGGGGGGGGGCATTGGAAGGAATTATTTGGAATTTTGGGCCGAGGGGTTCAGGGTTATATGTGTTGGGGGGGGGGGGGGGGGGGGCTGGAGGTTAAGGTCGTTTCGGCTTTCGTGCTTAATTGACGAGTAGTTGGGGAGTTTAGGGTTTAGGGTTTTCAGGCAACTTAATCTGGGACACGCATCCTTGTACCCATGTTTTGGGTTCGGCCGTTGAAACGCTGCAAACATTTGCCAACCAAAAGGGAGCCCTTCTCTGTGACATGGTAAACCTCTGGGCTGGCCCACAATGTTGCGCCCCCTTGATTGTGTGACCGCCCTCGGGTTGCGAACAGTTGAAGTTTAGGGTTTAGGATGTAGGGTTTAGGGCTTAGGGTACACGTGAAGTTCATCGAGACCTTTGCCGTGGGTTTGTGGGGTAGGCTCGGCGGCGTATCTTGAGCGCTGCGAATCTGACATGTGTATGACGGGCGGCAACGGAGGTGGTGCGGGATTCAACCGGCACCCAAAACCCCAAAACCCCAAAACCCCAAAACCCCAAAACCCCAAACCCCAAACCCCAAACCCCAAACCCCAAACCCCAAACCCTAAACCCCAAACCCTAAACCCTAAACCCTAAACCCTAAGCCGGCACAGATGGCTTGAAAGAGCTGCGGTTGCAAAAGGCCGTCCAACGTTAGAACCCCTTCAGAGACTCCGAAGCCCCCCAAGAGCCCTCAAAGCCCTAAGCCCTAAGCCACTAGAGCAAGCGCTAAACCCCTTACTTAGCCAATAACTGAACTTTAAACTCTCGGGCGTGTCTAATCTAGTAGGAATGATAAAATTCAACCCTTTTTCTTTTTTCCTGTGTTATTGGAGAAGTAAGACCCTGAACCCTTATAAGCCCTAGCCCTAAACCCTAAATCCTGAACCCTAAACCGCTAGATGCCCCAAACCTTTGACAAAAAACATGGCCGGGACCGGGGAACTTTGGTTTTCTTGAGCTCGTTTGGACGTGTTTGGGGTAAAATCCAGCGAGGGAGGGGCGCTCCCGAAGAGTTCAGGGGCCCCTATAAAGGGGACCCTATTCCTACTAATGAGCTCCTATGTGTATATCTAGATATGCCATACACATTGTGCCTGTATACCTTTCAGAAGCCCCAAAGTATCCACCCTATATGACCCCTCGATTTCCCTACAAGGCTCCCGCCTTTCGTCCCGCAGCCCTATGTAAACCAGAAAGCCCTGTAAACCCTAAACCCTGGCTAAGTCCCTAAACCCTAAACCCTTAAACCCTAAACCCTAAACCCTGAACCCTAAACCCTAAACCCTAAACCCTAAACCCTAAACCCTAAACCCTAGACCCCAAACCCCAAACCCCAAACCCCAAACCCTAAACCCTAAACCCTAAACCCTAAACCCTAAACCCTAAACCCTAAACCCTAGACCCTAAACCCTAAACCAACCTATCTGTCCGTGCGGAAGTTGGATCTGATGTTCGCGCCCCTAGGCGGCGGCCTGGACGACAGCATGCTGCAGGCCACCTTCTCCGTCGGCCTGAAGGACCTGCGGTTTTTGGGGTTTTGTTGGGGGGGTTGAACCCTAAACCCTAAACCCTAAACCGCCTAAACCGCCTAAACCGCCTAAACCGCCTAAACCGCCTAAACCGCCTAAACCGCCTAAACCGCCTAAACCGCCTAAACCGCCTAAACCGCCTAAACCGCCTAAACCGCCTAAACCGCCTAAACCGCCTAAACCGCCTAAACCGCCTAAACCCTAAGCCCAGAGTGTTGGGTTGAAAGTGTTTTCTCTCACTTTTGGTGTGGCTTAAACAGTTGCCAGCGCAACATTCCTCAACCATCCCATGATATACTAAAAGCCCTCAACCCTATACCCGAAACCCTAAACCCTAAATGCGCATTCTGAAGTCGTGAGTCAGTTTCAAGGCTTGACTGCCAGCCATAGGCACGGATCCCGTGCTCACCTAGTCAAAGCTTCCTGCCACTGAAGCTGTAGGTACATGGAATAAAGTCTCCAGGCAGACCCTGCCTAAACCCTAAACCCTAAACCCCAAACCCCAAACCCCAAACCCCAAACCCCAAACCCCAAACCCTAAACCCCAAACCCCAAACCCCAAACCCCAAACCCCAAACCCCAAACCCCAAACCCCAAACCCCAAACCCCAAACCCCAAACCCCAAACCCCAAACCCCAAACCCTAAACCCTAAACCCTAAACCCTAAACCCCAAACCTTAAACCCTAAACCCTAACCTCTTGTCAGTCCCGGATCACATCCTGGAGCCCCGAAACCCTACATCCTCAACCCTAAACCCTAAACCCTAAACCCTAAACCCTAAACCCTAAACCCTAAACCCTCAACCCTCAACCCTCAACCCTCAACCCTCAACCGTCACTCCACACCGCAGGACATGAAGGCGGAGGATGTGAAGAAGGTTGAGGCGCGCTTCTGGGATCTCGAGCCACACTTAGGGGTTTAGGGGTTTGGGGGTTTAGGGTTTGGGGTTTGGGGTTTAGGGTTTGGGGTCCACGGTTGAGGGCTCCTCAACCCTAAGCCCTGAATCCTAAGTCCTAGGCCGCGTGCCATCCCGAAAGTGGGTGTAGGGCTTGAGAGTTTAGGGTTTAGGATTTAGGGTTTAGGGTACACCTTAAACCCAAAAACCCTAAGCACCACACCCTAAACCCTCTTTCGTACTGCCGGACATGGTGTGTGCACGGGGAGACAAGCGGCCGGTTCAGGGCTTAGGGCGTTGTGGGTTTAGAGTTTTACACCGAAATTCCGACGGACAGCGCCTTGGCCCCTAAGCATTGGAACTCTCGAGGCTTGAAGCGATTGTGCGAGACTTCTGGGGGCTTTCACCGTCTTGCCCTCGGCCTCTCACAATCCTTCCGAAACTCGGGAATGCGGGGAGCGAGAAGAAAGCTCATAAACAGAGAGAGAGAGAGAGAGAGATAGAGAGAGAGAGAGAGAGAAGCAAAAAAGAGAGAGAGAGAGAGAGTGAATAGGCTCGAGGTAATATCGGTCTGCACTTCGTTGGGGCCCTAAACCTTAAACCCTAAACCCTAGACCCTAGACCCTAAACCCTAAACCCTAAGCCCTAAGCCCTAAACCCTAAACCCTGAACCCTGAACCCTAAACCCTACACCCTAAACTCTAAACCCTAAACCCTAAACCCTAAACCCTAAACCTGGCCAGGAGCTGATCATGAAGACCCTTGAGGAGCTGGCAGAGACGGGCTTTGAGAGCGACGCGATCAAGGCGGCAGTGAACACCATTGAGTTCCAGCAGCTGGGCTCAGGGTTCAGGGTTCAGGGTTCAGGGTTCAGGGTTCAGGGTTCAGGGTTCAGGGTTCAGGGTTCAGGGTTTAGGGTTTAGGGTTTAGGGTTTAGGGTTTAGGGTTTAGGGTTTAGGGTTTAGGGTTTAGGGTTTAGGGGTGGGGTACAGGGGTTTTTGCGTTTACTAAGCAGTGTGGCAAGACTATGGGGCTCTAACGTTCAGAGTACAGGGGATTTGAGGGATGCGATGTCTAAATCAGGGCCCCTCAAGCCCCAAACTTCGCTTGATTCATAAGGAACCCAAGGGGCAGGAAGCCCTAAACCCTAAACCCTAAACCCTACACCCTAAACCGTCTGAACCCCATTTTAGGGTTTGAGCCTACAGGTCGTATTTGTTGCACCGACTCATGTCGGGCCCCTGGGTCTCCATAATGAGTTAGGGCTGCTTGGCCCTAAACCCTAAACCCCGAACCCTAAACCCCAAACCCCAAACCCCAAACCCCAAACCCTAAACCCTAAACCCTAAACCCTGAACCCAAAGACTGCACATCCGCCAAAAGCCCAGGAATCGTGAGCTGAACACTGGGTCTTTCCCCAAGGGCCTGGCGCTCCTGTTCCCTGGCCTTTAGGGCTCGAGACGGTTTAGGATTTAGGATTTAGGGTTTGGGGTTTTGGGGTTTAGGGTTGGGTTCAAGCTCTTGAGGCTAAGGTTCTCAGTTCAGGGTTTCGACATGAAAAACTTGCAGAGCCATCTTTTACAGGTAAACAATCTGAAAGGGGCCGCGCCCCTCTCCTCCCCCCCCCCCCCCCCCCCCCCCCCCCCTTCTACTCCTAAACCCTACTCGTAAACCCTCAACCTGAAACCCTACGCCTGAAACTCCCTCCCTCCCCCAACTCCCCAAACCCAGGGGCCTGACACTTCCCACCCAAGCCCCTATACCTTGACCTGAACATCAACAAGCTCTCACGTTTCAGGCTTAGGGTTTAGGATCCAGGGTTTAGGGTTTGGGGGTTTAGGGTTTGGGGGTTAGGGTTTAGGGTTTAGGGGCTTTTGCCGTCATGCGCTCAGGTTCGCCGCGAACTCCAACTGGAACCGTGCTCAAATGTTGGAAGCAGTTTGCTCGGCGCCGGATTTTTTCGAGGGGCTAAAGAAGCAGAAAGCCGAGCCCACCCTCAACCCTACTAAAGGGGCCTGAATAGTTGGTGTAGGATGTTTTGGGGTCATTATAGTAGGAATGCCTTTAGGGGCCTAAGTCTTTAGAATAGGGTTTTAGGGGTTACTATTGTATATTATCGTATACTTATGTGGGGACCAGAAAGAAACACTATTCGTAATTTTTCCGACCCTATAGTAGACTCTCAACGCTAGACCCTAAGCCCTAAACCCTAAACCCTAAACCCTGAACCCAAACCCTAGACCCTGAACCCTATAGACCAAAGTCCTAAGCCCAAACCCCAAACCCCAAACCCCAAACCCCAAACCCCAAACCCCAAACCCCAAACCCCAAACCCCAAACCCCAAACCCCAAACCCCAAACCCCACACCCCAAACCCCAAACCCCAAACCCCAAACCCCAAACCCCACACCCCAAACCCCAAACCCCAAACCCCAAACCCCAAACCCCAAACCCCAAACCCCAAACCCCAAACCCCAAACCCACACCCTAAACCCTAAACCCTAAACCCTCAACCCTCAACCCACAGCCGTTGAGGAACTACGACGCCGATCCCTTCGAGGCCTTGAAGTTCGAAGGCCCGCTTCAGGACGCACAGCAGGTTTAGGGTTTAGGGTTTAGGGTTTGGGGGTTTAGGGGTGTAGGGGTTTAGGGGTTCAGGGTTTGGGGTTTAGGGTTTGGGGGTTTCGGGGTTTAGGGGTTGGGGATAGGGGTTCGGGTTTAGGGGCTTAGGGTTTAGGGTTGGTTTAGGGTTTAGGGGTTGGGGGTTAGGGGTTCGGGCATAGGGTTTTCTTTTTTTTGTTCGGGGGTTTAGGGTTGAGGGCCTTATACTATTGTTTTGGGGATGTGTTGATGTTTTTGTCAGGGGTCAGAATGAAGGGAATAGTCTCAATGCTCCTAAGAAGAATATCATACGAATAAGAAGAGTACTAGAATGACTACCAAGCATGAAACGAGCAGTTGTGATACTCCGACGTAGAAGATCAGACTATTCAGAAGAAGAATACTAGCCCTAAACCCTAAAACCTAAACCCTAAACCCTAAACCCTCTAAGATGATGTCGCTGTTCCCGGCTCTAGCAGGAGCTGAAGCAGCGCCTGGACAAGGGCGAGCCTGTGTTCCAGGACGCGGGTTTAGGGTTGCAAGGGCTTGGGTTTAGAGTTTAGGGTTTGAGGGTTTGAGGGTTTGAGGGTTTGAGGGTTTGAGGGTTTGAGGGTTTGAGGGTTTGAGGGTTTGAGGGTTTGAGGGTTTGAGGGTTTGAGGGTTTGAGGGTTTGAGGGTTTGAGGGTTTGAGGGTTTGAGGGTTTAGACATGATTCAGCGCCTTCTCTGGGTCCGTTTATGGCCCCTTAGAGCAAAGCCCTAGTAAACCCTAGATCAGAGATGAGGCCTACAAACCCTAAGCCCTAGTAAACCCCATCCCCCCCCATCCCCATCCCCCGGCCCTCCTTCCTCCCATTGAATGCCAAATAAAAGGACTTGATTCGGACGAAGCTCCTGGACAACCCGCACAAGGCGCCATCCTGCCCATGGGCTTCAAGGGGGGGTATTGGTTTGCTAGAAAACCCTAAACCCTAAACCCTAAACCCTAAACCCTAAACCCTAAACCCTAAACCCTAAACCCTAAACTCTAAACCCTAAACCCTAAACCCTAAACCCTAAACCCTAAACTCTAAACCCTAAACCCTAAACCCTAAACCCTAAACCCTAAACCCTAAACCCTAAACCCTAAACCCTAAACCCTAAACCCTACAGGAGGAGCTCCTGAGAGGGAGAGGCCCCTTGCGGGAAGGCCAGGACCCGAGCAGGCCCCTACTCCCTCTTTTATGTGTTTCCCTGCGTTCGAGTTGGGTCGGGGAGGATGTTCCTAAACCCTAAACCCTAAACCCTAAACCCTAAACCCTAAACCCTAAACCCTAAACCCTAAACCCTAAACCCTAAACCCTAAACCCTAAACCCTAAACCCTAAACCCTAAACCCTAAACCCTAAACCCCAAACCCTAAACCCTAAACCCTAAACCCTGAACCCTACACCCGAGACCCTAAAACGCCTCTGTTGTTCAGGGGCAGTTTTTTCAGACCTTTCGCAGAGCCCTAAACCCTAAACTTCAAGGGTTGAAGGGCTTGGGGTTTAGGGGTGTAGGGCTTTAGGGTGTGAGGGGTTTAGGGGTTTAGGGTATAGGCCGTAGGGTTTAGGAGTTTAGGGCACACCCAAGAAGGGGGAAGAACGAGCACCCCGCAGGTCGTGGTCGAGAGCCGCCCCTCCAAGGATCTCAGCAAGAAGGTGGAGGAGGAGGAGCTTAAAACCCTGAACCCTGAACCCTAAACCCTAAATCCTCAACCCTGAACCCTGAACCCCAAACCCTAAACCTAAACTCTACACTCTAAAGTATAGACTCTAAGTATAGACCTAAACTCTAAAGCCCTAAACCCTAAACCCCGAAACCCTAAACCCTAAACCCTAAACTCCCAGAGAAGCCTAGGGGGTTAGGGCTTCGGGTGTTGAGGGCTTTATTTAGGTCAAGGAGGGACCCTTCTAAGCGATCTTCGGGGTTGTTTAGGGGGGCATTTGGCAACTTAGGTATATAGGGACTGGATAAGGTACATTTTGGGGTTATATAGGGGAATAAGATTAACGGTCCCTTCTAGGGGTCCCTCCTGATAACCCCAAACCCCAAACCCCAAACCCTAAACCCTAAACCCTAAACCCCAAACCCTAAACCCCAAACCCCAAACCCTAAACCCTAAACCCCAAACCCTAAACCCTAAACCTTAAACCCTAAACCTCATTTTACCCCCGAATTCGGGGCTTCTGGGGCTTCCAGGAGAAGCTGGAGCTCGAGAAGCACCGAGCCACTCTCGAGGAGGAGGTCGGCCCGCGGCCGTGTAAACCCTTGGATTTGGGGTTTAGGGTTCAAAACGGGGGACCGTGGGAGTGCGCTTTTTGGCTATTTTTCCTTACACGATACATGCTTTTCATACGAAAAAACGCAGAAAACTAGAAAAACTTCACAAAAACTCGGAAAACTAGAAAAGAATGCAAAAACTCGAAAAAACCAAAAAAACCAAAAAAAACAAAAAAAACAAAAAAACCAAAAAAAACCAAAAAAACAAAAAAACTAAAAAAACCAAAAAAACCAAAAAAACCAATTTCCAGGGACTCTTCCATCCAGGGCCCAATTTGCAGGAGTCCTGGAAAATTGGTTTTTTTGTTTTTTTTGGTTTTTTTGGTTTTTTTGGTTTTTTTGGTGTTTTTGGTTTTTTTGGTTTTTTCGAGGAAAACTAGAAAAAATGTGCAAACACTCGAAAGAACTCGAAAACACCAAAAAAATCAATTTCCAGGGACTCTTCCATCCAGGGCCCAATCTGCAAGAGTCCTGGAAAATTGTTGTTGTTGTTTTTTTTGTTTTCGTGTTTTTTGCCTTTTTTCTAGTTTTCTGAGTTTTTTACAAGTTTTCTGGACTCTTCCATCCAGGGCCCAATCTACAGGAGTCCTGGATTTTTGATTGTTTTTTGTTGTTTTGTTTTTTTGGTTTTTCGATTCTCCAGCGCGGGGCTTCCGGAAGTCTCCAGTAGAATACCTCGCGCGTGCCGCTTCCGGAAAAATGAAGGACAGCTACTGGGACAACCTTCCGATGATGGATTTCCCCCCCCCCCCACAAGCAAGACCACACGGTGCTCATATTTTGCGAAAGCTTTTGCTGACTAGTGTGTTTCAGTGAGACAGGTGTGATAAAAATCTGCGCTATGAAAAATCCACAATCACTATGTATAAAAATCAAAGCGACTTTATTGAAAAGTCTTTGTATCATAGGGTGCCTACCGTTATGGCTTGATATTTGCTTTCCTTCATGCAGGGTTGGTTTAATAATATGACTTCTAAGCTAGCTATTGTTCTAGCTGTTTCTTCTAATATAGATCTTCTATACTTGCCCATTTTTTGAGGTAATTTGCATTGTATGTCAAATCTAGCAGAGTTTGCCCATACGTAAATATCTTGTAATTTATCTTGTTCCCTTTACTAAGAGGAGCTTCTGTAAGAGTTCCAAGCGTGTTATTTGTTGGATTTTCTAGTATTTTGCTTTAAGCATTTTTAAACTCATCATTCAAGACATATAAATTTGTATGATAAGATGGGATAACAAATTCCCATCGACAAAAATGATGATTATTATTACTATATATACATATATATATATAATATCTGAGTTTAAGGCTCTTTGTCCTATGGACTGATTTGTAAGTTATTAGGAAATTGTTAATAGTGCAGTAGAGGGCTCTCTAGATTATTTGCCGCATCTAAAGTGCTGTGCAAAAGTCTACTATAGGAATAGTCTTTCAAAATGATTCTTCCGTATCACTTCAAAATTTAAGCACAATTTGTACTTGCTTTGTTAAATGTATATGTTATAAAAAAGTCCAGTCCATTCTAGCCTAGCTTCTATAGCTTCATTTTTTGGCTAGAGGTTTTGTGAGAAATCTAGGCAGTAAAATTGCTGCCAGAATGATGTTTCGTGTTGTTAGAGGCGTTAAATAATATCGTTGACTCTTTATTATAGGCATGGTGTTTGTGAGTTTTATTGCCATTTCATCTATAGACATAGATTCACCTACATGTATTTTTGCCGACCTTCGTAAGTTTACATGCTTTTTGAGTTACAGGAATCATTCATTGGTCATTCCCATAGCTTGTATATGCATCTCAGATAAACCGTTGTTTTATAGAGTTGCAGGTGTGAACTCTGTTTTAAAAGTCTGTTTTTTTGTGAACAAAACACGGTGTTCCGATGCAACGTGTTTCTTTGTGAAGTCTTTGAATCACAAACGCCATATTGATGCAACCCAGGTATTCGTCCACCAGTCACGTATTCAACCCTCCTCGAAAAAGCAATACTGAAGAGCTGCATTCACCCCATACCAATCAGCAAGACTAATAAAAGGTAACTATTCCCCGAATAACTCATTCACTTCCTGATAAACAAGACTTGGAACTTACACTCATCCCTCAATAAGCAAGACTTGATATCTATATTCACCATCCCGATATACAAGACTTGAAATCATAATAGCCACCCTGATAACGCATTCACCCCCAATAAGCAAGACTTGGAATCTATATTCACCAACTAATAGCAAGATTCGGAATCATGGTAATCTCAGTCTATTAGGTTCTATACATTCACTACTTGATAAGGAGACTTATAGAATTTATTAGGGTTGGGCGTTTTTATTTATTTTAGTGAGTTGTGTAACATGGCAAACCTCATGAAACAAAAAAACACAAAAAAGTGCACTCCCACAGTCCCCCGGACTCTTAGGGTTTGATGTTTGGGGTTAGGTTTGGGTTTAGGGTGTAGGGTGTAGGGTTTAGGGTTTAGGGTTTAGGGTTTAGGGTTTAGGGTTTAGGGTTTAGGGTTTAGGGTTTAGGGTTTAGGGTTTAGGGTTTAGGGGAACCACCCAACACCTACACCCCCAAAAGCCGCTGTATCTGGGAGGATATCCAGCAGCTCATTGAGGAGACGACGAAGCTGAAGGAGATTCAGGACTGGGCTGATGCTTTTTAAAGCGGCTTAGGGTTTAGGGTTCGGGGTTTGGGGGGTTTAGGGTTTAGGGTTTGGGGTTCGGGGTTCGGGGTTTGGGGTTTAGGGTTTAGGGCTTCTTGAACAGGCTTAGGGTTCAGGTTTTTGCTTTCAGTCGTGGGCTGTGCTTGGGTCTTACCGCCTAGAGTAGCCAAAGGATTGATCTTAATTCGACCGGGCTCCAATATGTGGAGCTTAGGATATGAAATGGGAGCTCACATGTGTGTTATTTGTGAGTGCGTATAGGGGTCCTCACAAATATTGGTGAGTGTATCTATTGGGTGTCGCTTAGAGGAGACGGCTACTAGTGTCCCTAAACCGTAAACCCTAAACCCTAAACCCGAAACCCTAAACCCGAAACCCTTAGTGATGTAAGCCCTATTTCGTAGAGGGCTAAAAGTTCAGGGCTTGGGCTTTAAAGTCACCACTTCCACCGAACTCCAGGCCCCCAAGCCCGAAACTCTAAAGCCCTGAAGACCCTAAACCCTAAGCCCTGAAGACCCTAAACCCTAAGCCCTGAAGACCCTAAGCCCCAAGCCCTAAACCCTAAACCCCTAAACCCTAAACCCTCAACCCTAAACCCTAAACCCTAAACCCTAAACCCTAAACCCCAAACCCTAAACCCTAAACCCTAAACCCTAAACCCTAAAACCCTCAAACCCTCAAACCCTCAACCCTAAACCCTCAACCCTAAACTCTAAACCCTACCCAAGATGCTGATCCCTGGTGTCAGGAGACCCCAGACACCGCTGAGGCCATGCAGACAGTGCCACGCTTGGAGCTGTCGGACATTCCCAAGGTGGGTGCTCCACGATAGCATAGGGTTTAGGGTGGCGCTTTGCAGCTGCTCTTCCTCGGATGTGCGCTGCTTGGCCCTAAACCCTAAACCCTAAACCCTAAACCCTAAACCCTAAACCCTAAACCCTAAACCCTAAACCCTAAACTCTAAACCCTGAACCCAAAACCCTAAACCCTAAACTCTAAACCTGAGATGGGCACTTAGCGCATCTTGGGAGTTCTTGCCAGGAGACGCTCAAGATCCCGACGGAGACTTGGCCCGGTTCTGGAACCCACAGCTTAAGCTTGTGGGTGTTTTTTTAACTTAGGGTTTCGTTTTAGGGGTTTAGGGTTTAGGGTTTAGGGTTTAGGGTTTAGGGTTTAGGGTTTAGGGATTAGGGTTTAGGGTTTAGGGTTTAGGGGTTTAGGGTTTAGGGTTTAGGGTTTAGGGTTTAGGGTTTAGGGTTTAGGGTTTAGGGTTTAGGGTTTAGGGCGGTTCCTAATTGGGATCCTGTTTATATGGGGGCCCTATTATTGCGGGGGTGTCTCACTACAAGTAGCACTGTAGCCTTGCGAGAAGGCCGAGAGAAGGCTTTTGGCTAGGGTACTTGTTCTTGGGAATTTCGGGAATGAGGTACCCGATGTAATCCTTTTAAGGGTAGCTATCGGAAGATAGAAGGTACCTAGTTCCCTCATTCCCTGCTAACCTACTAAGAACCAGGTGAAGAAAGACTTTGCTTTTGCCGTTTGGGGATTTAGCTTTGGGGGTTCAGCTTAGCCGAGTTCAGAGTTGAACCCTAAGCCTAAACTCTAAACCCTAAACCCTAAACCCTAAAACCCTAAGCACTAAACGACCCTAAGCCCTATCAACCCTGCACTAGGTGCATCTCAAAGCCTAAACCCCTCAACCCTAGACGCCTCAAGCCCGAAACCCTATAAGCCCCTCAAGCCCTAAATCCCTGAACCCCTAAACCCCTAAACCCCTAAACCCTAAAACCCTAAACCCTAAACCCTAAACCCTAAACCCTAAATCCCCATCCTAGACCCTAAAACCCTAAAAAGGAGAAGGTTGGCTCTGATCCCGTGGTCTTGCGTCACGCCTTGTGCCTGGGCGAGCCTAATGTTCAGGGTTTGCGGGTGCTCTTCATATGGTTTCCGAGTGGGTTTTAGGGTTTAGGGTTTGGGGTTTGGGGTTTAGGGTTTAGGGTTTAGGGTTTAGGGTTAGGGGTGTTTGGTGGAGCGCCCTTTCATTTGGTTTCAGAGTTGGTTTGAGGGTGTAGGGTTGAGGGTTTAGGCTTTAGGGGTTTAGGGTTTAGGGTTTAGGGGTTTAGGGTTTAGAGCTGTGCGGTTTACACAATAAAAATGGTGCTGAGAAAAGGGGACCCACAAGGTTTATCTGTATTCTAGGCCTTCTGTTGGTGCCCCGTGCACCCTCCGCAGCAAGGAGAATACCCTGCTCAAGGCTCAAGACACCCCAACAATGGAGCCACGGTCGTAAAGGCTGCGCGCCCCCCTCGCCCCCCAGGCCGGAAAATCTAAACCCTACACCCTGAACCCTGAACCCTGAACCCTGAACCCTGAACCCTAAACCCTAAACCCTAAACCCTAAACCCTAAACCAAACTTGAAAGGCCGTCGGTTCCCTAAACCCGAAACCCTAAATCCTACACGCTCTTGGCAGGGAGTCCTGAGTCCGAATCGAGACTTTCGTTTGGCGCTTTGGGTTCAAAGTTCGGGTTTCGGGTTTACGGGTTAAGGCTGAGGGTTTAGGGTTTAGGGTTTAGGGTTTAAGGCTTAGGGTTTAATTATGGCTTAGGGTTTAGGGCTTAGGGTTTATGGCTTAGGGTTTAGGGCTTAGGGTTTAGGGCTTAGGGTTTTGGGGGTTGGGTTTAGGGCTTAAGGGAAACGGGGGGGCACGCGGCCCACAATTGTCTTGATGAAACCCAGACTAAACCCCTTAAAACCCCAGCTAAGTCCTTAAATCCTAAACCCAAAACCCAAAACCCTTAAACCCCAAACCCTAAACCCCACAGCCAAAACCCCAGACCCTAAACCCCAAACCCTAAACCCTAAACCCCCTTAAACCTGCCTCAGAGGCCGACCAGCGGGGTGGTCTACGCTGACTTGGCCTTCGACCTGTCTCGGGTGCCAGAGGCTCACCGGGATCCGAAAGCTATGACCGGGTTAGGGTTTAGGGTTTAGGGTTTAGGGTTTAGGGCTTAGGGTTTAGGGTTTAGGGTTTAGGATTTAGGGTTTAGGGTTTACGGATGTTCCCCCTTATACTAGCAGTCCTTTATGGGGATTATCGTACCCCCTATTGTCAGAAGCCCGATGAAGGACTGTTATCATAAGGGGGGAACGTCCCACGCCATGCATTTCGGGGTTTTTGTGTTGGTGGGGAGGGGGTGGTTAGGGTCTGGCGTTCAGGGTTTCGGGTCTGGGGGTTTGTAAGGGTTTTGGAGTGTTCTTGTTTTGAGCTATTTAGCTATTTATGGGCTTTGTGTTTGGGGTTTGTGGCTGCTCGGTCCAAGCAAGGATCCCAACAAGGATTCCCAAGTGTACATGGGCCGCCTGTTATCCCAGTATGCCACAACGGGGCTCTATTTCTGGGAAGCTGACCGTTTAGTCTTCGGGCTTTAGGGTTTAGGGTTTTAAGTAGGGTGTGAGGGTTTCAGGTTTAGGGATTAGGGCCATTTTTGACTTCGAAGTTCGCTCCCATTGGTTCGATTTTTGTCGGCCTACCTATATATATATATATATATATGTGTGTGTGTGTGTGTGTTTTGTTGCAGTGTGTGCTTTTATTTTTTTTGGGGGGGTTGGGGGGGGGGGGTGCATAGGATTTTGGGCGTAGGGCTTAGGGACATGATTGGCATGTCGAAGTCATGCGCCCAAGCCCGAAACCCGAACCCCGAACCCCGAACCCCAAGCCCCAAACCCTAGGGGTTTAGGGTTCAGGGTTTAGGGTTTGGGGTTTAGGGTTTAGGGTCCAACCTAGGATAAGAGTAATTGCAAGGATTTGCTGCCTCTGGTGCCGCTCTTCACCCGGGCACTGAAGCAGCCGCTTGGGCGAAAGCATCGTGAGGATCAGGAAGGGTTTTAGGGTTTAGGGTTTAGGGTTTAGGGTTTCGGGCCCAAGCCCTCAAGAGGGACGTAAAGCATGGTTTAGAGTTTTTCTTTGCGATGTTCCCCTTATACTAACTGTCCTTAGTAGGGATTCTAGTGCCCCCCCCCTATGATAATCCCTATGAATGACTGTTAGTATAAGGGGCAACATTCCAAGTTTTTCTTCCTAAGGTTTTCAGGGACCTCCCCCCTAAACCCTAAACCCTAAACCCGAAACCCGAAACCCGAAACCCGAAACCCGAAACCCGCAACCCGAAACCCGAAACCCTAAACCCTAAACCCTAAACCCTAAACCCTAAACCCTAATAAACAATAAACCCTAAACCCTAAACCCTAAACCCTAAACCCTAAACCTCATCCTTGCCCCCACAAAAGTCTTCACGCCAGGCTCGGCACGGCCAAAGGCGACTTCGTCAGCCTCACCCGGCGCGTGGGCATGAGCACCGGGGGCATCACCGCCCTTGGGAGGCATTTTCTTGAGGGTTTAGGGTTTAGGGTTTAGGGTTTAGGGTTTAGGGTTTAGGGTTTAGGGTAAGTCTGAGGGTAGCTTCATGGGCCCTTAATATGGTCCCTAACCTCCTTTAAAGGGTTCTGATGTATGGGCCCTTAGTTTGTATAGGGTATAAACGGGTCCTATAAGGGGTACCCTTTAAGAGCCCATACTTATAAGGGACTATGTAACTACCCTTAGATTGGTGGCGGCGTCGTACGACGGAAATGTGTGTATACACATCTGTGTATACGAGGTTCCTAGCCCCCCCCCCAAGCAGAAAGGTTTCGGAGAATACATACGTTAGAATATGAGTCAGCTATACATGCATCTAGCTAACAATCTAGATGCAACAGTTTTAGATGCAAAGGTAAATATCTTATATAAAGGTCCGACAAGTTTACAATTTGCATAGTTCAGTTGTTTAAAGGTACTATGTTCGAATAAATTCCGCTACGATCAAGGCTGGGAATATTGAAAGATACTGAGGGGCAGTTTGCTTTTTGTTCGCATTTAAGACCAAGTCGCCGCTTAGTATTCTAAGTAGGTTATGTATTGCACGCGGCTTCCAATCACGACAACGAACTTTGTTCACTTAGTTGCCGTCTCGAGGGATTAACATGATTCACAGATTGTTCTTCACGCTCCAAACACTAAATTCATTGAAATTGTTTAAGTTAGAGGCCAGCTAATAAATCATCATTTGTTTGAACGGTTGTGCGCTAGGAAACAACAAGAAACTTACAACACACGTGTGCTTCGTATGCTGCCTTGCATGCATACATTGCACGACATACGCGACTTGTAGTAACTCCTAGAAAGTACTCTTCATCATATTCCTGACATTATGCCCCCGCAGACCCCCCCCCCCCCATCCCCCAGTTTACAGGTTTATGCAACTGAAGGTCAGTTATGTGTTTTGAGTTATACTGCTTGAATGACCGGTAGTATTCGAAGACAATGAAGGACAGCTACTGGGACAACCGATGCACCGACATTTATTCTGATCAGGGGCTAGTTTCGGTTTGGAAGTGGGAGCCAGTTATATGCATTAACTGAACTCGGAGGTCAACCGCAAATATGCCATTAATCGGCCCAAATAAGTCCTTGACGAGGGAATCGTTTTCCTTATGACCACTGCCAGCTCTCGGTGGGTTTGAGAGTATCTTAGAACCCCTAAACCCTAAACCCTAAACCCTAAACCCTAAACCCTAAACCCTAAACCCTAAACCCTAAACCCTAAACCCTAAACCCTAAACCCTAAACCCTAAACCCTAAACCTTAAACAATAGTTCAAGGCCCTGGCCTGGCTAAACTCCCTTCAATGCTGAGGCCTCCACGATGTGCATGAACAAGAGGGGCGACCCCGAGCCGTTGACCTACCTCTTCATGCGTGGCAAGGTGGGTCTTTCTTTTGGGGCATAG